CTTTCTACATAACAGCCATTTCTACCATAATAGTTACAGACTTCAATACCCCACTTGCAATAAAGTATAGAGCCACCAGATAGAAAGTATGTAAAGAATTAAAAGACTTCACCAACACAGTTCTGTGAGCCCTCCTTCAACTCTGAGACTTGTTTTGTTTTTAATAGGGTGCATGTTGTTGTCAAGGATGAAGTCACCATGATTACTACATTTGTGATGCTTACAATAAGCTGATTGTTACCTATAGCAAGGGTTATGTAATTCAGCTTTCCTTTAAGTTTCTATTAAGTCCATATGTTTTCAGTCTCCCTCAAAAGCCCGGGAGTTGATTGGCTGCAAGTGCAACTGGTCACACAGAAAGCAGGTGAAATCACCTTGATGGCAATGTTTAAGACAGTGGTTCTCAGCTTTGGCTGCACATTAGAATCACCTGGGAATCTTTTTAAAACCCTGATTAGTTTTTAAAAGATTCCCAGGTGATTCTAGTGTGCAGCCAAGGTTGAGAACCACTGGTTTAAGAAGAGAAGAAAAACAATATTGAACCAGTAACCTTTCCCTTCTTTTCTCTAAGGGGCCACTTACCCATAGTTGCAATAAAAGTAAGCGTCTTTATCAAACTGAAAGCCCGTTTGTGGTTCATACTGCTCATAGACTTCACCGTTAGGAACCTTGGGAGTTGGACATTGTTTTTCTAGAAGAAAATTTGCAAATTCATTTTTTTATACAAATTTTAAAACAGATTTAATAAAAATAATTCTACACCGCTGTTGTCGATTCGTGCAATAGTATTTGCTGGAGCTAACTATTATAAGGGGAAACATAAACTCACATTTACCCAAACCACACCTACAAAAAACTTCCCCAGGAGATTTGTCAAAGCTTAAACACCTGTCTTGCTATCTAAAACCTCGTTTCCCATGAGAAAATCATCATTGCCACAGTGGGAAACGAATCCAAGTTAAAAGCAACACCAGCACCACCAGAGCAAGCACACATGCATACAAAAAAAGAAAGGTTTTATTTACTTACTGTAACAAGCTTCATCAATAGGGTACCAGGAGTTATTTTTCTCACAATAGGTGCTGAGGCCATAAAAATAGGAATAATAATATCCTGGATTACATTGATAATATACTTTCTCCCCAGGTAAATATGCAGGTTGAGGGGGAACCTTTAACTTCATAGATTGGAACACTGGTGGTTGACCACAGAGACCTAAAAGTAAGGAAATACAAGCATAAAAATGAAATATTTAATCTCCTTGACCAGCCAGGGACTGTGGTGTGGCAGCAGGTGGGTAGTCCAGAATAAATGGAAAGATACTTGGTAAGATTTTAAAGACTTGTTCCCTGCTTTCATCCAAGGGTCCTAGGAGTGGGCCATGTGCTGCCCTTGCTTTAAATAGCATTCTATTCGCTTTTGGTTTGTTTGGGGATGAGCTGGATTTTTATTCAACAGTAAATTTAGGAAGCAAATATCAGTGTTTTAGGTCTGAAAGATACACCATATAGGTATGCATCATTCCCCATTTCTTTTGAAATTCATTTCAAAACTCAATTCTCTTCTAAGAAGTCTTCCCCCCCCCCTTAGCCTTTTCATTTCAGTAATTTCATTTCTCTTCTTTTTTTTCTTTTTTTTTTTTTTTTAACCTGTGGGCTTGAAAATCTAAAAAAAATGTGTTAGAACAATTATGTAAAATAATGTGATGGAGACACATCAAGTAAAGTCCTAAAGGGCTAAAAGAAGCAGGGATCTTTCCTATTCGAGGAAGGATCTTTAAAAAAAGGAGATAGACCTATAGTGACCCCGAGGGAACCTTCCGCCTGTCTTACACCCTGGATTGTTCTCACTTCAGATGGTGAGACCAGTCAGGAGTATTCCAAACAAGTCAAATTTTACTCTTCTTTCGTATCATATTCTTAAAATCTGAAATTATATATATACCCAGTCCAACATTTCATTGCCATCGTGCCCTAAAGTCGACGCAACCCTAAAGCCCTCATAATTAACAGCATTTTTTACAAGAGGATTACTTGAGAGGTCGGTTTTATTCACATTTACTGAATACCCTGAGCGAGACATTCCCATTTACAATAGGAAAACAAATAGCTAGAAAGTCTATATAATTCTGTTCTCATCCAAATGCATAAGATCACTCTAGAATTTCCTGGAACCAGCAAGAAAGCAAGCACACAACAGCATGATTAAGTTAGGCAAGCAACCTTTGTTTGATGCAATCGCAGTAACTGAAAGCATACAAAGAAAAGAGGATTCCTAATATGTCTTTTTATACAATAAAAGTGCGTTTAATAGTGTTTATATAACATAACTCATTAGATTTAAAGAAACGTCGCAGACAGTGTATAGCCTTCAGCGTTTAGTTTTTGAGCTGTACAATAGTACCATTGCTTATTGTTCATTTCTTACGATTCTCATTTCTCACTAGGTTTAGCTACCAATGTTTTCTTAGGTTGCTTCCGAATCTTCCCTAGATAGGACCCAATCTAATGGGGGGCCCAGGGGCGGGGGGCAGGGGGGAGAGCAAAATACCAATACGACTTGGGGGCAACAATGAGCCTGTAACCTTTATGTACAAAAGGCACTGCCTGCCCTTCCCAATCCTAAATCCGAGGACGCAGGGCTATTCTCACTCAAGGACTCCACGTGCGCTCCCAGCCCCGGCACAAAGCCAGCAGCGAGCTTCCAGGCGCCGCGCTCCACAAAGCGCACACCAGGCCACACCCAGCCAAGGCTCCCCCAGCCCCGCGCGGCCGGGCACCCACACTCCACTCAGCCGGGCATCCCCACACCCCGGGAGCACAGCGCAAACACCCCTCCCGGGCACAGCTCGGGCCCCAGCAACATCCCCACGCGCAGGGCACTCGAGAGCAAGCCCTCGTCTGCAGCCCAGGTGAGGGCTCCCCATCCCGAGCGACTCCGTGCACAAACACCTGCAAGCTTCAGCTGGAGGCATTCCCTCGTCCCCGGCAAACACCCGTGGCGCCCCAGCATCCCGCAAAGCTCAGTGCCGACCACCCAGCAGCCTTCATCGCCGCCACTACAGGGGCCCACCGTCCTGGAACCGCCCCAGCACAACCCGAGGATCTGTGGCTGAGCCTTCTACCCCAGCTCCGCACCAGCCGGGGCCCAGCCCTGCGCCTCCAACCGGACCCTTGACCCTGACCCTGACCCACCAAGAGAATCTCCTCCCCTGTCCCCCGCTCCCGCCGCCACCGCCACCCCCGCCCCCGCCTTCGGCACCCTTCAGCCCGCTCCCCAACCTTCTCCAGTTCGTTTCCGGAGCGCACACCCTCTCCAGGTTCCTACCAAGGGAGGGGGGTAACTGGAGCACTAGGGTCACCAAAGTGATCCCCACGAAGCACCAAGAAGAAGAGGGACTCTCGGGGGGGCGGGGAGGTGCCCTGCGCGGCTCGCAGGACCGGGTCATGTTGCGGGAGGCCCGCGGGAATCCTCAAGGGCAGCGTGCACTCACCTTCCCGACCGCGGGCACCAGACGCAACAATCGCTAGACTCACAAAGTGTCAGCAACCGCAGGTGGGCGTGCCCGGCGCGGCGTGCGGGGCGGGGCGGGGCCGGGGGCGGGGAAGCGGCTCGCCCCTGGCTTGCTGGGTTCTCGCCAAGCCTGTGGGGAGCTCTGGAAAGAAAACGAGCCGTGGGAACCCCCGGAAAAAAAGAATAAAGCGCATCGGCCTGAAAATAGAAACCCAGAGCCTAGTGGGCCGCCTAGTGGCCAGCACCCCTTAGGGCTCCGCTTTTGTCCTGGGGCCTCCAGGCACTCAGAAGTGCCAGGGCTCTTGCTCACATTTTGCACGAAGGAGGCATTATTAGGGTCAACACCGGAGATTTCCGTGGTTGAATGTCTGCTGCGGAGTCCCATCGATGCCTGTGAGATTTCAAATTCACCAAGATGATGATTTCACTGTTTGTTTAGTAACCATCCTGCACTCACCTAAGTAAAAGAAGGACGTGTCTTATCGTTTTACTTTTTATCCAATCCCAAGGGTGTTTTGTGTACTCACAGCTAAAAATCTACTTTTGCCCACCCTTGTATTTACTGTTTTCTACAATCATCTGTACACAGTGCTCTGTGTCAATTATATCTCAATAAAGCTGAAAAAAAAAAACACCTTTCCCATTTACTTCGAGGCTTGGAAATAAGTTTTTTTCTTGTTAGAAAATTTAAAGGATAGGGAAAAGGTATGGCTTGAGTTTGGTAACCTAGTTACAGGTGCTAGATTAAAGGACTGGGGTTTTACTGGAACTTTTAACCAGTGAAATTTCTACACCTGGTGTCCATCAAGCCATTCCTAATATAACGGAAGACATTCACCTTGATTTCTTTAACTTACTTTGATTTGACCCATTTGAGGCTCCCATTGATATGTTCTGAGCCATGTTGCCTAGTTTTCTGGACAAGATACATGAGGCAAGGGTAGAGTTTTCTTGCTTTTTCTCCAGTGCCCAGGCTGTTCTAGCCTGTAGTAGGTGCATAATGAATACCTATTAAGTGCTGGGTAAAATAAGTGGGTGTCGTTGTCAACTGCATTAAACATGTCTCTGCCTATTCTCCACCAGCAAGGATGTGCCAAATCCTGGGAAATTTCTGAAAGATGATGATTACAATAATTTTAGACACTAGCAGGAACAAAGCGGGAGTTATCTCTAAAAGGAATGAGCTGCAAGTGTCTGCAGAGAAAACTTTCCTAAATCGGGTATTGTAAGCTGACCTACGGAGTGGAGCTAATGTCTGCCCCTTAACCTGAGGTCCTCACAGGAGAAGAACCCATGAGCCACGCTGACCAGTGCTATACGACATTTTTTGAAAGAAACTGGAGAAGATGCAAAGAAATGCAGATATTTTGTCTCCACAGATTGGGAGAATCAACATTGTTAAACTATCTGCATTACCTAAAGCAATCTGAAGAAGGAATGCAATCCCTATCAAAATCCCAATGGCATAAGGAATCATACAAGGTATTTTTTTAAAGATAAAATTTATTTGAAATGACATTTTACAAGCAACCAGATCTTCTGACAAAAGCACCAAGAATATATCTAAAGATTAAATTGTACACAAAAACTTTGGAATTAACATTTCACTCCCATAATTAAAAGAAAAAACTTGTTTGGGTTGGAATTACTGAGTGATTATGGAAACACAAAGTATAGTGTGAGAAAACCTGAAACCAAGTGGAAATTAAAATGAAATGTTTAACTCTATCTGAGAAGAAAAACCACTATTAAAATAAAATCAGACTTTTCTATAAAGATATGCCCATGAAAACCACAGGAAATCCTTCATACTATGACTAAATAATTAAAACCACACTATAACCAAAAGTATGTGGTAACAGTAAGTATGCTGATTATAAAAAAGGAAGAGTCTGCATATAAAAACAGTTCACTTTAGTGCTTTCCTAGAAAAGATGACTCCTCAGAGCTACTAGTATGTAACTGCTTATAGCCAAAGCCTGGCTCCAGGCACATCACAGGTGAGGCTTCAGAAAGTCCTTGGAGAGCAGGTGGCAGTGACACTGGGCTCCCAACTTTCTCATCAGGCAAACGTTCCTTGTGCTGCTCGAGAATAAGTGCAAACAGGAAGTTACAGCTTAAGGCATCATTTTAGTGATGTGGAGCCCATACAGATCGGCTTGCTGATATTCAAATGGTTTCTTTCCAACCCATGTTCAGCTGCATTCCAAGCAAGGAGGCACACTGAAATAAGAGTTCCTGGTTAGGAGGCAGCATTGGTACAAGTCAAAGTTTAAATAACAGGAATGTGAACATTACAGACCAATTGTAAGTACTATACAGACCAATTGTAAGTACAGACCAATTGTAAGTACTATACCAATTGACTGGCATCGAATCCAGGACCCTTCAGTCTGCAGGCCAACACTCTCCACTGAGCCAAACCATGTAGGGCTATATGCATGATTTTAAAATCTGTGCAGTGGAGCCATATAAATTTTGCATTATGCTTTTTGATAAGTATGAATAGAAGGACATTTTTACATAGAAATTAATAAAATATTTCAATTTCATTAGATATCCATTTACCTTCTGGTTATCTTGCTGGGTTGTATGGATCAACAGAATATACTTCTCGTGTCTCTAAATGAAGATCTTCTTCTATGAGGCTTTTATGTCTATAATTGCTAAATGGAAGAAGGAAGAAAAAGTAAAATTTTTACTCCTGCCATAATTGCTGTAAAGATATAGCAGTTGTTTTATTTCCATAATTCTCAACACATGGTAAGCACTTTTCAGGGATGAGTCCATTTTGTTTTCCTAAGTAGCCTATGAAATAATCACTATAATCCCCAATTTTGGAAAGGCCCATAAAAACAATTTGCTCGGCTGTTAAGTGTCTAGGTCAGAAGTTGACTTTACACAGCTTTATCTCAGACCGAGAACTCTACATGACCAATAACTATGGCCCCCAGTTTAAAACAAAAACAAAAGAAGCTTTTATTTTAAGATGTGATCATACATTTACCTACTTGGGACACAATCTCCCAATCTAACTTGAAAGAAAATGTTTATATTGGATGTTTAATTCAAAATCCTTACATGGTCCTACATGACTAAACCTTTAAATGATTTTTTTCCCCCCCTCTTTGATGGCATATCTACTTTGCTTCTAAAACCAGTTTACTAAAATTAGCAAAAGACAAGAAAATGTGATAATCCTACCATGTAGAACTCTGAAATAAAGTATTACAAAATTACTGGGAAAGAACGCTTACTCCTAGGGTTACTTACAGAATGTCCCCAACTACCATATTTAAGAGGTAAAATGATAAATAATATATTAAGAATATAAAAAATGATACTTTTTAGTTATGATGTTCAGATTTTATTAAAATATCTTACATGGCTAGAAAAAGTTAGCAGTCTTTTCTTCAAATGTTAGGTGGCTTTTATAAATATTTAGTGTTGTTACTAAACACCCATGTTTAAATGATTATTCATCTCATTTACAAAAAGTCATTAAGGTGATTGAAATGTTTGTATCAACTATCAGAAAAGAAATTGAAGTGGGTTAGAAAGTAGAAGTAAAATGAGAGTGATGCTAAGCAATTTAGTGTAACATATTTGGTTCATATCAATACAGGCACTTATATCCAGTATTGATATAATCATGTTAATAAACTTAATTATCATCAATAGAAACAATTCAAATGAGCTTGTAGGCATTCCCAAAGCTTGGAAATTTTTCTCAGACGAGATGTTCTGAGAGCAAAGTTAGGAGATAGAAAAGACATAGAAACTACATTCTCTATTTATTTAAATTTATAACTACTCTTGGCTAAAGTTATCTTCTAACTTCCTTCAAGGAAAAGCCATGCAAATGACATCCCTATTTTTTTCTTGAGACTCCCTTGAATTGTGTGAAACAGCTGTTTCTTAACTTTTCTCCTACTTCTGACTGTTCCCTCCCCTCCTGCCTTTTAAGCATTATGTCCTTCCGGGATCGGTTTTCAGTGCCACAAAGTGGCAAGGTCAGCACTGAACTCATCATCTTTCCCCACAAACCTGCCCTTTCCCTCTTTTGGTGAAACACTGGGACCATCAAATGACCTTCACTTGGCTCGTTCTCTGAGGCCCCTTCTCCCTCCTTTCCACAGGACACTCAGTCCTGGAAATCCTAGGCTCTCAACAGTGAAGACGCGTCCTGCACCTGCTCCATCCTCTGGACCCCTGCCACTGCTGCTTCGGCTGATGGCCCAACCCTGCCCCTTCTTTTAAAAATGCGAATCTGAACATATTTAAAAACAAATTTAATATATTTTATGGACTTCAGGGAGGAAGGGAAAGGGAGAGAGAGATAGAAACATCAATGATGAGAGAGAATCATTGATTGGCTGCCTCCTACATGCCCCACACTGGGGATCAAGACCGTAACTGGGCATTTGCCCTCACCAGAAATCGAACCTGCTGGTTCATAGGTCAATGCTCAACCACTGAGCCATGCTGGCTGGGCTGAATATATTTTTTTTGATTGCTTAAATTCCTATATGTTACACCCTAATTCCTTGTTATGGCCTGAAGGCTTTTGATAATCTAGCTCCTAACCACCTTCCTAGATTTCCCAAATGTCTATGAAATGGAATATTAGTCCCAAGGGTTGTTAAAAGTATTATGTGAGAAGAAAAAACAAAACAAAACAAAACAAAACAAAACAATAGAATTGTGTAATCCAATTGGTTTGGGAAACACTGGCTTAAAAAACATGAAACTGGCTTTTATATTATAGGACTTCAATTATTCTTTTGGTGATTGTGAATCTCCATGAGAAAAATACAGTATGCAGTATTTCCCAATCTTACTGTCACAGAATGCCCTCTCTCCTGAATTCATTCACAACACCATCCTCTGGTAAACACGACAGTCTAAAGTACATCCCAACTGTAGACCTTGCTGTGCTCAGGCCTAATCGGGCTTAGAACAAACTACTCAGCTCATAGACGCCACCTTTGCATAATTTCAATGCAACCCTTTCTTGTTTGATGCCTACAGTAGGTATCATATAACTGTGATCAATGTAAGCAGATGGCACTTGGTGACTTGGTATTTTAAAGAAAATTTGCTGGAGTTTGTGGGTTACATGTTTGGGGTGATGTGACTTAGTCATTCCCCAGTAGAATCTGAGACTTGGTAAGACTTCACCTGATTATCCTCCCTAAAGCTGAAGAAGCCAAAACCTTTTGTGTTTTGGTGAAGCATGCATTGAACTTACTATTTTCTGTGTTTTAATATCATGCACAAGGTGACACTAACCAAGCAGATAAGAACCATGAAACCTGCAGAAAGACCTAGAAAACAAAACAGCAAGTATCAAATTCAAGAAAAATGTGACCTATATAGTTTTGAAGCGATTGTGGGGCCTATTTCTAGTGAAGGGGAATATGGTATGTTACTTTTATACTTATCCTTTCTGAGCCATGAAAATAGTGAATTCCTAAATAATGATTCTCGGGCTTAAGGTTTTTCTGATTCAATCTCATCCACATTTCATCTAAAGCACCAAGCATTTGACCATGGGGTTCCAGTTAAGTTCTGTTGGGCTTTTCTGTTCCTTTCAGTTTTATTAGCAATATTCCAGTCACTGGGGTAAAATTATGATGTCAGGACACCAGAGTCCCATGACTTTGCATAACAACATTTCATTCTCAATTGTGAAAGGTATTTTGCTACTGCAGAATAAGCCAGCCTAGTCTGATAGTACCAAATCATGCAAAAGATCAAAAGTTAATGTAAACCAAACTTTCAACTTAAAAATTAGAAATAGCTGTCTGTTCAAAACATTTATTTAACTATATTCAAAAGTGACAGTTTGTAATGTAAAGGGTACATTAAAACATTCTTAAAAAGCCCTAGGTACTTTTCTATAAGTTAAAGTGAAGGGTGAGTTATAGGGCCACAAATATATATATATTTAAAGTATTTAGGAAGACTTACCACCAAGAAGAGGAGCAAGTGACCCTAAGGAGAATCCAAAATCATAAACATATTAGTCTACTGGTAGCTGCATGATTCAATGTAGTCCAAAGCCCCATGGTAATGTCCCATTCAGCCCCAGTCCCTCTAAGTCTACTTGAAAAGGTATATTGGAAGCCTGGATTCTACCCATTTTTCTTTATTTCTTATGTAACAACTCACTGGACTTAAAAAAAATTTTCGCTTTCAGTAAATTGCAGTAGCTCACCAACTAAAAAAAAAAATACACTCAGTATAATCAGGGATTTCTCAGATTAAATGCAAATATTAACTGTTATAACAGTTTGCTTAACATACTTTTAGAGGTCCCAGTCAAACTTGTAAGCACTTATAACTTACAAGTGTATAAAAGTGCCAAATGATAACTATATTATAAGAAAGATAATTCAATGAGCTTAAAAGTCAGCTTCACTCTAAAGAACATACTGAAATACTGGCTGGTATTTTGGCCTCAGATAGCAAATTACCAAGCAATACTATTGCCAACATTTGCCCCCAAATAAGATAGGTGCATTTTTCTTATTCTAAATTAATGAAAACAATAAATTTTGTAGACATCGTCACATTATCCTCTCATGTACTTTTTCTCGCCTTACTTAGAAAGGAAAAGGGGGGAAAAGAATTGGGCAAAAAGATTAGGCAGGTGTCTTATAAAACAATATAACTGTCTTAGCAGTTACACGCTTTTCTTTAGCGCAAATGGAAAGTGAAGATTTAAAAAATGTTTCCTTATTCTGAGCAAAATCCCTGAGTTAATTATCAAAAATAACTTACCCTTTTTGATACACGTTGGTACACCTGGCACCCATTTGTTATTGGCATGGCACCTAACCAAGTCACTGCCATTCATGATGAAACCAGGGTTGCAGGCAACATATACAGTGTCATTGAGGGAATATGACAAATGAGTTTTATTCAGCATGTATCCATGTTTGACCTCTGGGTGAGGGCAGTGGGCCACAGGAGGAGGTTTTAAGCACCGTGGAGGAGGTGCACTCCAAGATCCATGTCCTTCAGAATCACTTATGCATCGTATGTTTCTCTCTCCCAGAAGAGAGAATCCTTGGTCACATTCATAAGAGATTTCAATTCCATAGAGAAAGCGTTCTGCCCTCACACCTGTGTGCCTCCCGTTGTTAATCACTGGTGGACGTGGACAGTGAATAGCTGCAGAAGAGATTCGGGAAATGCTGCTTCAGCTAGTGTACCAAGGCGGACAGTCGTCATTCGGATGCAAATAAAACTATGTGACTGCATGTATGACACATAACCATACAATTATTTAGCTTTACAACCTGCATTGTTCTCATCAAAACAGCTTTATTAACATTTCTGAATAATATATATTCATTCCAAAAAATTTAAAAATAAGCTATAAATATAGGCTATATTTGTGTTTTTTAAATCATGAGTAATTAGAAGATGTATGCAAAATACTCAGTTCCTACTTGACAACTTTGCTTGCCAATGAGAGTGTTGACCAAACTGAGAAAGGCATTTCTTATCTTAGATACATTGAGATAGAACATGTAGACTGTTGAGGTAGTTACAGCCTAGTTCAGCCGTGGGCAAACTACGGCCCGCGGGCCGGATCCGGCCCGTTTGAAATGAATAAAACTATTAAAAAAAAAGACCATACCCTTTTATGTCATGATGTTTACTTTGAATTTATATTAGTTCACACAAACACTCCATCCATGCTTTTGTTCCGGCCCTCCGGTCCAGTTTAAGAACCCATTGTGGCCCTCGAGTCAAAAAGTTTGCCCACCCCTGGCCCTAGTTCTTAGGTAGCCTGTCCTCTCGAATCCCCAACTATCCCATTTACAACTTTAATTTTTCTCTTACCTTCACAGAGTGGAATCCTTCGGAACCAAACCCCAGTCTCAGCATCTTCACACTTCTGATAAGTATGTCCAGTCAGCTGATACCTAGAGAGAGATTATCATACATTTCTTTTTCCCAATATCACGTCTCTAAAACCTCACCTCCTCATACCACAAATACAGAGGAACTCCTACATAAGAACTTCGGTACAGAGGAATGCAAACCCTTGACCCTCCCAGTAAGCAAACTTCTTTAGATGACAGCAAAGCTATTTCTATGTCAAAAAAGAACAGCCCTAACCGGTTTGGCTCAGTGGACAGAGAGTTGGCCTGCGGACTGAAGGGTCCCAGGTTCGATCCCAGTCAAGGGCATATACCTTGGTTGCAGGCATATCTCCAGTAGGGGGTGTGCAGAAGTCAGCTGATTGATGTTTCTCTCTCATTGATGTTTCTAAATCTCTATCCCTCTTCCTTCCTCTCTATAAAAAGTCAATAAAATATATATTTTTAAAAAGAACTAACAAGTCAGAGATGCTACTTAGACTTTTGGAACCTCATATTCTCTGTGAGTGTGGCAATGAGGAGCCGCAAAAAGAGCCACCAAGACAAGCTGAGGGTGCAACTAATGCACTAAACCACGTGGGGACCCGCTCTGGATGGGTCATCTCATACTCACCCATCTTGACAGGATGTATTAACTAGAACCACATGCGAATCAGCTGGAAGCTCTTGAACATCTTCTCCCGTGGGCTCACATGGCGCTTCTGGAGGAGCACAGCTGGAATTACTCACACATGCTTACTATCAAAGGGAAGGCAACTCTGGAGCTAAAGTACCTTCACACTGAGGGGCAGAAGGGCTCCAATTTCCGGAAGGCATACAGTGAATGGATTTGTTTCCCACAAGTGAGTAGCCGGGGTCACAGGTGTAGTCTACAGTCATCCCAGAGACAAAGAGGACCCTATTTTTGCCTGTATGCCGACCATGGTGCAGCCCCGAAGGTGGCTGGCAGTCTGAAGGAAAAACTTCCCACATAAATACCAACAAAAGAACTTATACTCAAGAACATTCAAAGTACAACATTTGACAACAGATAATCTTAAACATCTTAGCCAAGATCATAAAGCTCTAATTCATTACTGAATGTTGTCTGCTCTTTAGACTTCTTTAAACAGGTCCTCTCAGTATCCACCTTGAATATATTCTGGATACAAGAGCCATTCTCATAAAGCACATACACAACACACATGGAACACTGTTACAGATAAAAGCAATAGGATAGTAATCTGTGTCGCATTGACTTTTTCCATGAGTGTAGTTTTGGGCGGGAGATGAGAATAGTAAGTAAATACCTTATTTTTCCCCCATTGGGCTGTTTACCTTTCTCACAAACGGGTATTTGGGGATCCCAGGTGTCATTGGCTTTGCAACGAACCTCACTGCTGCCCTTCAAAGTAAATCCATCATCACATTTGAATGTCACACTGTCGTTGTAGACATATGGGGCTTCCTTGCCCGATATCTGGTATCCATTTTCAATGTAGGCATGTGAGCACTGAACAGCAGGGAGGGAAAGTTTACAGAGAGGAGCAGGGCCACTCCAGATGCCCCTCTCCTGACCATTGCTTGTACAACGGATGGTGCTCTCCCCGATGAGGTTGATTTCCACGCCTTTCTCTGGCCCAGGGCTACAGGAATAAGTGACTGTGGTTCCATATGGAAAGTCTTCTGAGGAACTCCCTGTGTGTGCCCCATTGTCGATAACAGGGGGCGGTGGGCAGGTGATTTCTGGAGAGATGAGAAGTGACTGTATCATTCTGTTTCAGTTTTAGACACCAAAGAAGAGAAAGGAAGTTGGTTATGAATCTGTTATTACCAAATTTCCTGGAGGATATGGGTGAGATTTGATGATATATGAGTTATATCAAAGCTCATTATGTGTGCAAAATTCAATTTAAATAGGTTCCATAGGAAATATTTTTTATAATTTATATCTTTGTTAAGTGTGAACATGTACACCAGTATTATACTGTGAGGCAGTAAAGACCAGTAGTAAATTATTAATTAAAATAAGAATTCTTTTTAAAATATACAACCTACACTAATAAAAGACAAACATGCAAATTGACCGTACCTTCACTATGCCTCAAGCCACACCACCAGCCAATCAGAGTGACTATATGCAAATTAACCCAACCAAGATGGCGGCCGGCAGCCATGGAGCTGGAGCAAGCAGGAGGCTTGGTTGCCCCAGTGATGGAGGAAGCCACGCTTCCCGCCTGCTGTGGCCAGCTCTGAGCTTCACTCAAGGCAACAAAGTTTCAATTTTAGAAGATAAATAAACCCCAGATACCTGCTTTTAGCTGGCCATGGCCACTGAGCTGGAGCAAGCAGGAAGCTTGGGTTGTCCCTGGCGATGGAGGAAGCCAGGCTTCCCGCCCGCCCGCCCTGGCTGGCTCTGAGCTCCACTCAAGGCTACAAACTTTCAATTATAGAAGGTAAATAAATCCCAGAACAAAAAAAAAAGAAAAAAAGGAGAGGCCGGGAGCTTCCATTGCTGGGGGGCTTGGCCAGCCTGAAAACGGCCCTCACCCCCTCACCCAGGCTGGCCAAACCTCCATGGGGTGAGGGTCCCCACCAGGGGGGGGTGTTGATCAGCCGGGGGGGGGGGCTTGACCAGCCTGCAAACAGCCATCAGCCCCTCACCCAGGCTGGCCAAGCACCCCAGTGGGAACCCCCACCCTGAAGGGGGTGTGGACAGCCTGAAAACAGCCATCAGCCCCTCACCCAGGCTGGCCAAACCTCCATGGGATGAGGGTCCCAACTGGGGGGGGGGGGGCTTGACCAGCCTGCAAACAGCCATCAGCCCCTCACCCAGGCTGGCCAGGCACCCCAGTGGGGACCCCCACCCTGAAGGGGGTGTGACCAGCTGCAAACACCCATCAGCCCTTCACCCAGGCTGGCCAAGCACCCCAGCAGGACCCCCACCCTGATCCGGGACACCAGCCAGGCCCCACCCATGCACCAGGCCTCTATCCTATATAATAAAAGGGTAATATGCAAACTGACCCTAACAGCAGAACGACTGGGAATGACTGGTCAATATGACACACACTGACCACCAGGGGGCGGATGCTCAATGCAGGGGCTGTCTCCTGGTGGTCAGTGTGCTCCCATAGGAGGAGCTTTGCTCAGCCACAAGACAGGCTGATGGCTGCCAGCACAGTAGTAGTGGCGGGAGCCTCTCCTGCCTCCTCAGCAGCACTAAGGATGTCCGACTGCAGCTTAGGTTTGCTCCCTGTTATTAAGTGGACATCCCCCGAGGGCTGCCAGGCTGCCAGAGGGATGTCTGACTGCCAGCTTGGGCCTGATCCCCCAGGGAGCGGGCCTAAGCCAACAGGTGGACATCCTCCCAGAGGTCCCAGACTGCAAGAGGACATAGGCCAGTGTACGAAGCTGCCTATTGTCTTCACTAGCAGAGAGGTGTGGACAAGGAACCCGGAAGGCTGATGACCCTTGAAACCCTGGCAAAGGTCAGAGCTGTGCACCCACTGTTAGTCCAGACAACCTTAGCTGAAGCAACTTCCCCATTTATTATTATGTAAATCCTTGCTAAAGGGCAAGTCTGCCTGTTACTGGAAATTGCCTGCCTAAGGGCTATGGGTGTATCCCAAACCAATAAAAGGTTGGCGAGGCCTGAGCACCAGTGGAAGTCCTTCCCCTTGAGTTGGATTTGCCCGCCTGGCCTCCCAATATTTCCAAATTATCTCTTGTCTTGTATCTTTCATTTGTGTGCAGCCCCTCTTCCAGATCCTGAACCCTGAATCACGCGGGACGTGGGGGGGAACAAACAAACAAATATTCAAATCTACCTAGGCTGGGCTGAGGGACCCCCCTGAGTGCACAAATTTTTGTGCACTGGGTCTCTAGTAGTTGAGTAAAAGGCACAGGAACATAGAATTGAGCTTCTTTTGCATGCCATTTTAGTGCTGAGGTGATACAGTAGTTTAGCCAAGAATATTTGTTGTTGATTGAGTATATACTTTGGTAGGCAATAACTTTGAAGTATGAAGTCTTATGCTGACTTTACAGATGAGGGGATAGAGTTACAGAGAAATTGCATAAACCACCCAATTTCAAATGAAGCAGTAGATACAGAATAAGATATCAGATCCCACATCAATATCCTTATCCCCCCCCACTAAACTACAGTGTATGCAAAATTAAACATGGTGGCTCATATACTCACTGCTTTCATCATCTTATACACTTAAATCACAAAAGAGGGACATTAACCGCAAACATTTAAATTAAGTGATTGCTATGCTTTGAAGTAGACAGAGGGGACAGTAGAAAGACAGAAAAACTGTTGACAAATTTAATGGAACAGCAGCTAATATTCTTATTCCCACAACATAGCCTAAAACAGAAATCTCCCAGGGCATGCAGAGGTATCACATTATCTCAGGTTCTCTGTTATTTTTTGCTACTCACTTTTACAAAGACGAATCTCCATAAACCAAGGAATGGTGCCTTGACACAGCTGATAAACACTCTCACCTAACCGGGACCTAGAGATAGAGTCGTGTCATTTTGCCGTCTAGTGACCATTAAACTGAGCAAGAGCTATTGGCTCAAAAGCAGACTCACCACGTTCAGGACAAGAAGCAATACGAACAGAATGCAGCCAGCATCAGCTCCATCACCCTTTGCACAGGAGTAGTTCCCATACATGGAAAACTAGCAAGATTAGCACTTCCATGGACACGGGCCAGGGAAGGGCTTTGAGGTAAACGCTTACACAGAGCTTGCAGTATGCGCTGATAAGCCAGACCCAGTTCAGGCTGAGCCAGCACTCACTCACCCTTCATCACAAGAAGATTTAACATCTGGTCTAATCAATTGATTCTGAGGTTTTTTGTAGAGATACTTTCCTATAGGTTCACACTCTGCCACTAAAAAAAAGAGACGAGGATGAGAGATCAACACAAGTAATCTCAAAACTACAAAACATCTGCATGCAAGTCCTGATACCTTTGCATTTGGGGACAGTGGGTGTCCACACCCCCTCAGAGGTGCAATGTATGGATTCTTCGCCCACCAGCACATAGCCAGGGTCACAGCTGTATTTTATGGATGTCCCAGGCTCAAAGCTCATCCTGCGTCGATCTTCCTTTTGCCCATGGAGGATTTCAGGAGGGGCTTGGCACTCTAAAGGGAAGAAAAACAATTTTATTGTCTAAACAACAGCAACAGGGAGAAACAGCCAAAGAAATGGGCATTAACACTGTAATTCCTCTCTGGTGGCAGCTGTATGATGCAGAAGGTATCTTACAGCCCAGTTTGGGGTAATTTTGGATCAGTGTCTCTCGATCTTTTCCTCTTCTTTGCACTTAGGCTGCTGCAGGTTTTGTTCAGTTTCCACTCGGTGCTTTACCTCCTCTCATTTCTTCCTTTCTTAAGGAATCACCTCATATGCTCTCAATGGGAGATTCTCATATACCCATGGAATGGGGGCTTGGATGACTTCCCTTTTAAGAAATCAGTATTAGGACAAACAAACATTTTTCCCATAAAGAAATAGGCAACTTAGTGGTTCCTAGTGTTATTTTTCCCAAGGACACTTCTACAAAATGAACAAATGGTGGGTGTAGTGTTAAAAACGCCTTCTACATAATTTGAAAACACTATACATATTGAAGAATTGAAGCGACTACAAACTGAAAAATAACCTGCTTACACCCCAAATCCCTACCTATAATTCTTAGAAAAGAAGAAATTAGTAGAACCTTTTCTTGGTCCTGGAACACTCACCCTTTTCACAGACAGGTGCAGAGGGCTCCCATGTGCCTTGGGCACTGCACCTTATTCTCTCGCTACCTTTCAAGGTGAAGCCCAACAAGCAATCAAATACCACAGTGTCATTATATGAATATTGATCTTTCTTCCCAGACAATGTTTGGCCTCTTAGGATCTGGGGAGGTGGACAGTGAATTCCAGGAGGAGAAAGTTCGCAGCGTGGGGCAGGACCACTCCAGATCCCAGTCTTCTGACTGTCAGTGGTGCAATGGATAGTGTCCTTCCCAATCAGGATGAAGTCCACTCCTCTCTCTGGGCCCGGGTCACAAGTGTAAGTGACTGTGCTTCCGAATGAAACGTTCACTGAAGGGTTGCCTGTATGCCTTCCATTGAGAATAGGAGGAGGTGGTGGGCAAAGGATTTCTAGAGAAATTAGAGAGAAATGACAAGGTTGCAGCTGTACTACACACAAGAAAGCCTCAGACTTGATGCCACTCTCATCTCAGGGTCCTAGGATATATGAATCGCTGATGAACCATCAAGGCAGCTATCTCTTTATATAAAAGCCTAAATGAACGTTATGACTGAACAACCGGAATGATCTGAATGACTGGTCACTAGGACCGGTCCGACGACTTGCAGGCCCCTTTATCTGCCCATTGAGCAGTGGTCCTGGAGCATCACACTGTGCCTCTATGGAAACAAACCAAAGATGCTCAAAGCATGGCAAATTACAGAATAGCCTAATTTCTGAAAATTGATTATAAATTTGGGGTACCTTCACATTGTGGAATGACTGCACTCCAGTTTCCTGAAGACAAACAACGAATGGTCGTTTCTCCAACAAGCAAGTAGCCAGGTTCACAGCTGTAAGTCACAGACAGTCCAGGGACAAAGAGGCTGACATTCTCTGCTGTGTGATGTCCATTGGGGATCATGGGAAGTGGTGGACACTCCAGGGGGAAATCTTTACACACACACATTAGAACAAAAGGCCATCAGATGATACATCCCTCACAATCTAGACTTTGACATAGTACATTCATCCAGCTAAATGACACATTATCTGTGGTAACCAGTCATCATGAATTTCAACTCAATCTTTAAAACAAGTGTGATGTAATATCCATTTTATACACCATATAGCTCATTATTTTCCATTTTTAGTTACACTTTATGATTTATTTTGTGAAAAATTTCATTTACCAAAAAATAGTTTATTTTCACAATTATTCTCATGCTACCCGTAAGGCTATTTTCTGCTTCAAAAATAACTATTATTAGGGCTTATCCTGCTAGATATTATTAATATAGTTTTATGGGATCCTCTATGTGATACATATATATTTACATTGTGAGTATATGTGTACTCACATCTTATTTTATGCGAATTATTAGTTTAATACTGTGTTTATTATATCTTTCCATGTTAATACATATAGGTCTACCTAAGTCTTTCTAATGGCTTAATTATGTTCTATAGTCACCTCATATTGTGATTATCTTCAGATCTTATGCACCTCAAAGGTTATATATCTATTTATAAACACATAGATAGAATCATATTTTTCTAATAGTTTTTTTAGTTCGTTAATTGATTTAGAATAAATTGATATTGTTCTTCATTAATAGCTAATTTTGATGGTAAATGTTTGTTAAATATTACAGTCCCTGTAATTGAATGATTGGAATTCAGATTTATTTGAGCAACAACATAAACCTAAGTAAATAAAAATACGAGAACTTACAGTAATTCTAACTTTATTTTTCTGCTTTCTCACTTGTTATTTTTATTCTTAACTTTACTTTTAGTGCTGACACTATTACAGCCATCCCCATTTTACCTATAAAGTTATTTGATTTGAAACACTGTGTTTGAGGAGATGACTTGGTAGAATAGTGCATCACTTCAGAAAGTGTTTATAGAGATCTCAGAACAGGCATCATTTCTGCCAGATTGTATTAGCACCTATTTACAAACGAGTTTAATATCCATTGGGTGTATTTTTTCTAATAGGCCTCACATTTTTTCTCATTTTAACATCAATTTAGATATATAGTTTAAAACCACACAATTCACACAGCACCCCCTATCTTGTGGAACTTATTCAATTCAGTTATTAGGTATATTCAGTTATTTTTTCCAATCATACTTTAAAATTCTTTGTTCTATTGATGTTTGTTGAATGAACATTTATATCCTTCAGGACTAATGCCCCCCCCACCAAACAAAACAGGGAAATATACCTTTCACCCTTTGCCATGCTTCCTCCCTCACCCCTACCCTTTACACACCCACACTGCTCTTAGTTCAGAATGATACAAAACCCGACCTGCACAGAAATGCAATGGTCCACCCTCCCGATTCAGGTTGAGTTTCTCTCTTACTCACCACTCTCACAGGTTGGTAGTGGTGTCGGCCCCCACCTTCTATTTGCTTGGCACCAAACGGTCTTGCTTCCTTTCATGGTGAAGTTGGCATCACAGGTAAAGGTCACAGAATCACCATGTCTGTATGGTGGTCTAGATCTTTTATCTTTGTGTCCCCCTGCCACTACGGGCTCAGAGCAAATAGATCTTCTGTTGTAATATTCACATATAGGAGCAGGTTTATCCCAGATTCCTTTCACTTGGTCTCGGCTTATACAAAAAAGATTCTTTTCTCCAATGATGCGGTAGCTAGGGGGACAACTGTACCTCACCAAAGTGTTAAGAGGTATGGAGCCAGAAGCATAACTATTCCAACCATTTCGGATAGGAGGAGGAGGGTCACAAAAAACCCCTGAAAAATAGAAAAGGAAATATGTGCTGATATTGATTATGACAAGAAAAAGATTCAGATGTAGATTAAAGCTCCAAATATAGTTTATGTCACCTTATCAGAAACAGACTTAGAAATTTGTATAATTTATTTCTTAGGGACTCAGAGTCCCTACTTACCCCCAAGCTCCTAAATTCTTACCTTTCTTTTGCTGCTCAGCAAACAAATCAATACAGGACTTAAAAGTACCATCTTGACCAAACAATGACAATGAAAGAGAATTTATTAAATAATTCTGAGTCTCATCAATTTTAATAAAACTGAAGGCAAACAGCTGTGAAAATAATATGTTAACAACATGCTAATCACATGTGGGGAGGTACCATGGAGTTAATGAAATATGGACTCAGACCTGGTCTCAGATTCCCACTGTCATTGAATAGCTGAGTGACCGTAGGCAAGTCTTACCCTCTCTAAGCCTCAGTTTCCCAGTCTACTGTATAAATTAAGCTACTTCATAAGGTTGTAATGAGAATCCAGAGAGATAAAAGTACCGAAATGAAGAACAATCACTGAAACATACAAAGTATTTGATGTCTATTTCAAACATACAATGGGGGCTACAAGTGGTGAAAGTACATTCTGCTCCTCTACTAAAGGGACTGCAGCCTCACTACAGTCATTTGTCATCCTTTGATGCTAAGCCCCTTTGAAAAAGCCACAGGAAGAGAGCAAGAGTTTGGAAGAATGACCTGATATCCTTTAATCGGAATACCAAACCACTATCTGTCTTTCTCTTCCTCTTCTCATAACGACAATGTATCTGTACAACCAAAAGTCTCATTTTATCTATGGATCACCAGATTTCCAGCCCAACTCACCCTTCAAGCACCTGGGTGGTGGAGGATTCCATTTATTGTTTGGTCGGAACCATGTGTTTGATGGTGAAGCCAGGCTTACACTTAAACATCACAGTATCATTTAAGGAGGATGAATGCCTATACTCAGACTCCATAATTCCATTTTCAACTTCTGGAATTGGGCATCATTTCCTTTCGGTACCTCATTCTTCATCCCCTGCCCTTCATTCATTTGGTTACCAAATTTTAGTGACTGAATTCCCCAAATCTCCAAACCAACCATGTCATCACTGCTGTAATCTCTCACTGGATCACTGAGTAACAAAATTTCCCTTTCTAACTCTGGTGTCCCTTGGTCTTCATCTTCTATGCACATCTACCACTGCACACGTTATCTTTCAGAAGCACAAATGCGATCATGCCACCACCTACATTTAAAAATCTTACAATGACTTACCATAGTTGATTGAAAAAAAAAAGTCATGGCCTGTCACGGTTAAGATCCAATCTACTTAATCAACTACTATTCCTCACCACACACCTCATACTGCAACCACACCGAATTTTTCTATTTTCCACAGATGTGTTCTTTCATACCTTCATACCTCTACCTATAATGCCTGGATTTCCACAATTCTTTTAGATAGCATTTATTATGTACTTCTCTATGATATCATAGAAATTTATCTCTATGAATAAATGAAATCATATCATAGTACGGTATTTGTTTAAAGTTGGTCTTTACAATTACTAAAGGAATTCTTTACAAGAAGGGACCAATAGACTTTTATAGTTCTCTCCAAGTCCATCATCTAGCTTAAAGCTTCAAACCTATTAGTTACTCAAAAATATCTCTTGAATTAAATGGGGTAAGAATGAAGTGAAAACTAATATTCCTTGCATACTAACTTACAACTCACTCTAACACAGTACAGAGAGCACAGAGCAAGTTCATGGAGATTACAGGTAAATAGAGTTGGCCAACTGTGAAAATTTAACCTCAACACTCAATGCCCTTAGGAGTAAAAGAGAACATGCAGAACCCAGGATCCTTTTCATTAAGATAATTTACTAGCTTGCTGGTTATTTATCATGAATACAACAGGTTAGCTCACAGAGATACACTAATAGACCCAAAGATGTCCCTATTTTAGAATACTCATGTTTACAGTATTGCTGAGCATCTGACCACTTGGAGGTCTCTAGACAGGTGGTAAAGAACGACTTTTTTATATACCCAGGAAGGCACTCAGATTCCCAAGATGTCCCAACAGCAAACTCAGACTGATCACGCTGAACTTTAGGCTTAACAACAGGATACTTTGGCAGGAACTTACCCTGACCTAGACACAAAGACCACAGGAATGTCAAAGAAAGAGAGGCTAAACCTTGCACTCTGCCTCTGCTTTGTCACTAATTTTCCTGAAAACTTTAATCTTTAGAAAATAAACAAACAAAAAAATGGGTAGCAAGCATTTCTGGGACAAAAATACATATCTTGCAGTTAGGGGTGCAAATACAGAGAAATAAGCTCAGAAGTGCGAAGACATTTTAGGATAAACTTTAGAGACTTTAGGAAGAGATGGAGGAAGTCATGTTTCATAAAGTTCCACAAAGACCCTGGAGTAGTTTCATCTTCCTACAATGTAATAAATAAAATGTAAAACCTTATAAATAAAAAGTTTTCTGGGCTAGCTCAGGAAACTAAAGAATATCAGAGACCTTATAAGCTCTGCACATGTATGATTCTCGAAAATTACTTTAATGAATTCACATTACTATCTTAGTCATTTAAGCTTTAGGTCATAGTATTAAAGTGTTTATGATTCTTTATTATTGTATCCCATTAACTAGAATGGGGAAGAGACTCAATCTTGATTCTAGAATTGTTGCATAAAGACTTCATTTTTTTAACATGTATTTTGAATCAAATCTGAAATCAGCCAATTTCCTATTTTCATGGGCAATAGGATTGAAGATATATTTTATCCTCATTAAAATAAAAACTAATCTTATATATGTTTTGGAAAAATTCTTGATCATTAGCTCTGGTATTACTGGTTTCCCACTCCCCTTTACTTTTTCTGTTTTTTGTTTTGTTTGTTTTTTTAAGCAACTCTCCCACGGTGAAACTCTTTCTGGGGTGGTCTGCATACCATGGCTACTCTACATTAGGTATAAAATATTGGCTTTTTCTCCTTAACTCAGGATACACCCAAAGAGTAATTCCAGTTTCATAACTCTCCACAGAGTTGCCGGAGACCTTCACTGAGATTGCTCTGACACTCAGCTTCTTCTTTTCCAGTTTTGATTTTTCCTCCTCCTTTCCATAAATATTGAGCCTAAGAGCACTTCCTCATAACTGCCTTACACACCATCTCTGTCTCAGCATTTCCTTTCTGGCAACCTAACATGTGACCACCACAATCAGGCTGTGGAGCAGAGGGTGCTTCTCCATTTCCAGCTATAGATGGTCCGGTGACTCCCAGGATTGTTCTAGCAAGGACAGGTTCATGAACTGCAGAACGTGAGGGCAATTCTGCCTGGAATGCTTACACTGGCAGGAACTTTTTAACGCTGTTGCAATCACCATTTCCTCATTTACTTTCTCTCCATAAGCATCTGAGGATTTTGGAGTTACGTGGTAAATTTATATCTTAGTCTATCTACTGCCCATGTTACCATCCACCAGTCATTTGTTCATTAAATGCTGCCAGAGAATCCTCCTCCATCCCTCCAGAGCATCCCTCCTGGGTTATAACAGGGTAGTATTATGGTTTGGTTAGTGTCTGCCACTCCCAGTACATTTTAGCAAATATCTACTGATTGCCTACTGTCTGCCTGCATCCAACAGTGGGCAAAACACAGTCCCTGCTTATATTCCAGTGTGTGTGTGTGTGTGTGTGTGTGTGTGTGCATGAACCCACAATAAAAAAACATGAAATAAGGATCATGAAAATAGGAATGGTTTGTTATTGTTCATCAGTGTGTCCTCGGGACCAGCACAGGACATGGCACATGCAAGGCAACTATTTGTAGGATGATGGCTGCTTAGGACAGAATGCAGCGTTCAAATTGTTTATATGATAGAATTCTAAAAATAGAAACACAAGAGGATATAAAGACAGAAGGACATAGACCCAAGTGTTAAAAATTACTGTCTGTTGATTGTGTATGTTTGATACGATAAGCATGCTTTCTGTGGCATATATATTTTAAATTGCATATCCCATTCAGTAAAACACCAAATAAACCCAGTGGATGGGCTGTCAGCTGTATTTTTGAGCTGTAGGGGAAAAGCAGATTAGCATTTCTTAGGGTGGTCATTTCTCATTGGTTGGCTGCCAGTGTTTTCTTAGGTGGTTTTGCATCTCCCCTCATATAGGACCCAACACGATGGGGAAAAAAGAAAAAGAAGAAACAATTCCAAGAAGACATTTGGTAATAGAATAGTGTACTGTCTATAATTGATAGGAACAAAAACATGACTCCATGCCCCCCACCCCCTAAAAAAAAGGAAGAAAGAAAATCAAAACAAAACCCCGCCCGATATTGGCTAACAACCAATCTATTTGAGTGCAAAAAGCACTGCGCGCCCTTCCAAAACCCACTGAACCAGGGAACCCAGGCTTCTTCCCTGCAGCGCCCCCCGCCCAACACGCGCTCCCGGCGCCCATACAAAGCCAGCAGGGAGCTTCCCGGCCCCACACCCTGCGCCGCTGCTCTGGGCACTTCCACCAAACACACTGCGGACAACGCCACACCCGCCCGGGACCCCCAGCCCACGCCAGGGGGGCACAACAGCCCGCTCACCCAGGCGTCCCCCGGCCCAGGGAGGGGCTCAGCATCAACCTCGGGCACCAGAGCACTCGGGGGAGCCCGCACCCGGAGCACGTGCCCGCGCGGCTCGTCCTGATTGATCCAGGCCCCAGACACCTGCAGCCTTTGCCAGGGACGCAGCTTCCTTACCCGGGACACTCTGGGGCGCCCAGCGCCCGCCGCGGCTTAGAGACACCACCAGGCAGCCTTCGCCACCCGCACTGCGGCTCCCCCCCACGCCCCCCTCCTAGATCCGCGCGCAGAAAGATCAGGGCATCTCCGGCCACGCTGTCACCCCGGGTTGACCCAGTCCTGAGCCTCCTCCCGACCCACCAAACGAAGCCCCGCTCCTCCCCCTCCCCGCCCCCGCCCTCGGCTGAGGACGGCCTGGGGCTCCCCGACCCGCTCCAGTTCGCCCCGGAGCGCACACCCTCTCCAGGCTCCTACCGAAGGATGTGGGCAACTGGAGCACTAGAGCCACCAAAAGGACCCCAACGAAGCTCCAAGAGGAGAAGGGGCTCTCAGGGCGCCGGGGAGGTGTGGTTCGCGTCCCGCCAAAAGCCGTCATTGTCGGGGAGATCAGTGGGAATCCCGAGGGAGCCAAGGAGCAGGTGCCTCATTAAGTTATAGGATGCAGCAAAACCCAGATTCAGTTCCAGGTGCCGCCCCACAAGTGGGCGTGTCCTGGGCGGGCGCCAGGGCCAATCGGCAGCCTGCAAGGAGGGGTCTGGGCGAGGGGTGGTGTGCAGGCCTGGAAGGGGAAGGACAGCCCTGGGTGGGTTTGGCCTCTGCACTCCCCACACCTAATGTAAATGACTCTTGTCCCTTACTCTCCTGAGAGGACCCCTGGGAAGGAAAAATATTCAACAACCCTGTGCCATTAAGCATATTAAGCCTCAACTCTATGGGGCCCATGACCTTGCAGAACTAAATGTTTCGTTTCATTGAAGAGGAAATGTACCTGCATGAAAAAGTAAGAATAAGGGTGTATTGAGTGGCAAATTCTTGGGAGCAATGAATGTCAGTAGAGTTAGAATGGGTAGGAATTGGTTAGAACGTTAGATGAAGTAGAAAAATAGAGCTTTTCTGCTGAAACAATCTCTCAATGCCGGAAAATTGAGAACGAGCAAGATTTATTTGTAGGTTTGTAGGGTTGTGAGTTAACCTTGTGTGAATAGTCAAAGGAGGGGGGAAAACCAGTAACATGATGGGTAGTAAAAAGAAAACAAAAGTTGACATTTTCTTCCCATTAGTTGTTGCCAAAGAAGAAAAATATCACCCAATGTGAGTAAAATTTTGAGGGAACAAGCGTCCCCAAACCTTTAATTTTAAACCTCAGTTTTATAAATGTGAAACGTTTTAAATTGGAAATGGATTTTAAACCACCAGTTCCATTTAGAGCTTATCCTAAAGAAATCATGAGCACTGTGAGCAAAGGTGTATGTATAATTTGGAAGAAATATAAACCTTAAGTGTCTAGTAATAGTGTTAAGGAATTGATGCTTGGTAGCATTTTAGGGTGGAATTCAATGTAGCAAGCAGTGTAAAACACTATCACTGTGAGAAACTAGAAGATATTCATAAATGAAAAGCAGAATTCAAATCAGTGTATACCTTTTGGTATTTCTTTTATTGAAAAAAAGGAGTATATTTATGCACAGAAAAAGGGATTAGTTGGAAATATACCACAATTATATTTCATTTTCTTTGTGATTTTCAGTTTTCTGTATTGACTGGCCTTGTGTTACATTTGGATTCAGGTAAAGAAATTTGTTTTTAACCATCCAATATATATATCAACATCTATTTTGTTCATACAATGGTGGGGATTGAACCTGTACTGCTCCAGGTTAAAGAATGAGATGTTGGTGAGGAAATGGAAGCAACCCGTACAAACCTGCTTCTTCTGGAATTACAAAACTTCATATACATTTACACAATTCTGCATCTGAGATGGACTGGAGGCTTCTGGGTTCCACAAACCATGGAATTTCCTCTTTCTCTCAGACCAACGTAATTAATATATGGATTATTGGCCAAGCATGTAAGACACTATGTGTGGAGATGATTATAAAATGAACACCAAAATATCTTGGGTTATTAAATCTAGATATCCCATGATGAGACAGATTAAAGGAGGTATAATTAAGGAGACAGTGAATAAGAAACTCAATTATGAGGAATTATCATTTCTCTTCATTCAGTGTAAAAGAATTATACTGGTAGTTTAGTAGCTTAATGTTGTCACTTATTCAAACAGAGAATCTATTCTCTACAACCACTAGTACACTATGTTCTATGTCAATTATATCTCAATAAAGGTGAGGAAAACCTTTCCCATCTATTTGGGGCTTGGAAGTAAGTTGTTTTTAATTGTGAGAATATTCAAAAGGTAGGGGGGAAATATGGTGAATTTCTTAGTTACAGGTACTAGATTAGATTCAGAACCAGAAGTTGCTTTCAGTCAATGAAATTTCTACACCTGATGTTCCAAAAGCATTCTAAATATAACTTAAAATTTTCACATCTATTGCTTCAACTTATTTTGAGTTGACTCATCTCAGGATATGTCCCAAGCCTTGTTCCCTATTTTTATGGACAAGCTGTATGAGTCAGGAATAGAGTTTCGTTGCTTTTTCTCCTGTGCCCAGACAGTCCTAGGCCTGCTGGAGCTGTATAATAAATATGTGTTAAGTACTGAGTGAAACAAACAGGTGTAGAAGTCAAGTGCGTTTAACATGTCTCATTCAATGCTTCACTCTATGGGTTTACCAAATGCAAAAATTCAGAGAGATTTTGATTTTGATCATTTTAGACGCTAAACACAAAACTGGATTTGTCTCTTTTAAAAATAAGATATGAATTGTCTGCACTGAAAAGCTTTCTTAATCAGGCAGACAAGCTGACCTATGAGGTGGAGCTAATGTTTGTCCCTTAGCATTGAGATCATTTTAGTGACTGAGTTCAAAGGAGAATATTGACCGTGAACTTCCTAAGGTCCTCACAGGAAAAAAGCAGAGAGAGGGTTAAGGCTTTGAGGGAAGTAGGGGAGTAAAAACGAGTGGTTCTGCCCTGGCTGGCATGGTTCTGTGGTTAGAGCAGCAGCCTACCAACCCAAGGGTCGGGGGTTCAACTCCGATCAAGGGCCTGTACCTGGGTTGCAGGTTCCCCACTCCAGTTGGGTTGGGGTATGTACAGGAGGCAACTGATTGATGTGGCATTCTCTCATCAATGTTTCTCTATCTCCCTTCTCTCCCACGCCCCCCCCCCCCACTAAAATCAATGGGAAAATTCTCCAGTGAGGATTAATAACAAAAAAACTAGTGGTTCCTCTAACTCCCCCTAAAGATTTTTTTCAAAAGGCTAAAGAGAAAAGGAGAAGAGAGTGGTGAATGTGCAGGAATACCCAGGTTTTGAGCTGTGTGGCAGATCCCTTTTAGGGCTTTATGAATTGTGGTATGATGTAGTTGGTATGTGGGGATGTTATGAGAGTCCGACTTCTTTAAAAGAAAACAATGTTAGATGATTCTTTGCCGCCTACATTAGTATATTTACATGATGCTTTTCAGAGGTGGGGTAGCAGCATGAATGCCCCTGAGAATGCCCTCAGAAAAGGCCTTCGACTGTCCCGGTGAATGACACAGGAGGGGTTTGTGGAAACCTGAGAGAGTGGCTGGCTGAACAGAGGATGAGCCCTGCTTCTGAGACTGGCCCTGAGAGCGATGCCTTCTCTATCTGCACCTGGTAAGCACCTGCCAGCCAATAGCTGTTACCAGCCAGAGCCTTGCTGTGGTAGGCCACACCCAAGCAGGCCTTTTGAAGGCAGCCAAATACAGAAAGGAGGGCATTTCTCAGAAGGAGCACGTTTTCATTTTGTTTCCTCTTGTTGTGGAAGGCTCTAAAAAGTAGATATATTGCAAACCATATTTCCTAAGAGAGTTTCAATACTAAAAGCTTTTATTTCTTTCTTATAATGGAAGAGACAAGATTTCATTGAAGCATTATCATTTAAAATTAACTTATATCTCACATCTAAGTGTACAAAATAAACGTTAGATTAACATTGGAAATGGCTTTGGAAAATAATTGTTTCAGCTGCTACTTTTCAGTTGAAAAAATGTGAGGCAAGAAGTTAACAGAAGCCCAACGGGTATGGCTCAGTGGTTGAGTGTCCACCCATGAACCAGGAGGACACGGTTTGATTCCCTGTCAGGGCATATACCCAGGTTTTGGGCTCAATCCCCAGTGGGGGGCATGCAGGAGGCAACTGATCAATGATTCTTTCTCAGTATTAATGTTTCTCTTTCGCTCTCTTCCTCTCGCTTCCCCTCTCTGAAATCAATAAAAATATATTTAAAATAAAAAGGAAGTTAACAAAATTGCTCAATAATACAATTAAGTTAGGCAATATGGTATTTTACAGAGATAACCAATGTTAAAAATATCTCATTTTTTTAACAATTAAAAAGTCACAGGCATCAGTGTTTCTTAATCACATTGTGCACCAACCTACTCCATTCAGAAGGGGGGAAAAGAATTTAGAATTTTTTCTATGAAGGGATTTTTAATTCTAAGCAAGGCTAATTCTCAGTTAATTTCTATACCTCTTTTCAAAGATTCTATTCCCCAAACCCAAGAAATAATAGGAATTTGCTAAGCAAACCATTGAGCAGTTTTTTATATATTTGTGGACTATTTGCCTGTGTGTGTGTGTGTGTGTGAGAGAGAGAGATCTGGATAAATATCTCTTGCCCTTTTAGAGAGAGGTAGGGGAGAATTAGTCTTTGAATTACTAACTCTCAGTTAAGCCCATTACCCTTTGTCTGGGATATGTTGCAATTTATTTTCCCACTTTGTCCGTTGACTCTTTGGTTCTGCTGTGTTTTTTTTTCCTCTTGTATGATTTGAAATTAAACTTCTAGTTGAGGTCCAGTTCACTATTGATATTTATCAACATAAATATCAGAATATACTTCAAAAACAACTATTAAAACCAGAATTACACAGAAGATACCAGTAGTCATACACTAATCTATTCTTAAATATCCAGTAAGATTCTGCTATTTTCTCAGGTGGCCCATAATATCACCCCAAATTCATTTTCATCTATAAGGATTTGGATTTTTTAGAGACTCTAGGGCTACTTGTAGAGAATGTGTCAATACATGTTATTAATTTGATAAATTCTTAAAAGTCATGTTTCTTAGTAAATTTAGTGTATGCTGAATCCATTCAAAAGTAAACTAGTTACTTTTATATAAAAAATTACTTTTATTTAAAATTCAGTATGTTTCTTAAACAGAGCATAGTACAAAGTACTTTTGAAATAGATTTTAGGAAATATCCAAAGCTTATTTCCCCCCCAAATATTTCTCTTGAGTATTCTTAAGCCATCTTTCCTATAATCATCTAATGACTTTTTAAGAAACAGAAATTACATATATTTTTTTGAGAAAGTGAAAACATACATATCTTTTACTCCAATCTGTCTAAAAGGAATGGATTCTGCTCTACAAACAAAAAAGAAGGTATTTAAGAAAGAAAGACATATGTGTGTATAAAGACCCATATATATGAAGAAAAATTAGCAGAAAGTGAATTGAAACATTAGCAGTCA